TTACCGTCGTGACGTCACACGTGACATCACGTGACCCTCCCCTGCGTACCCTCCCCTCCTCCTCCTCCTCAGGAGGTACGCTCTAATTCGGCGTTGCAGAGAACTGTAAGCGTCTTTAATTTTTTTTCGCCAAAACCCGTAGGTCGTAGTTCGTGCGTCCGTTTGTCAGGGCCATGCATGACGCCGAGAGGAGAGGGGGGTATAGGGTGAGGAGGTATCGTATTTACAGATTCAATGTCCCACCAAATACTTTACTAGGGGGAGTACAAGACACTCCCCACGCATGCATCGAAACAGACGCCAACGAACAACCGCGGAAACACGCGTGACGGCTGCAGCGGTACCGTCTTAGCATCCGCTACCCCTTCAACCGCACCGCATTCCGAGGCGTCGCCAGGTCAGTTCCCTGGCGGCGAGAGGAGGGGGGAGAGGTGTCTCAAGTAAACCACTCCACGGGGGAAGGATTCGGCGCGGCTGTCGTTCTGTCTAATGCAAATAAGGAAAGTGTCCTCTATTCCCTCTTAGTAAAGTATTTTGTCTTACTACGACGGCGGGAAAAGAGGGAGAGGGTGACGCGTGCTGACGTCAGCGCATCGGGCCAATACGAGCGTCGCACAGCTGGCGAGGAGCCAGATACGACCAGGCGCCGAGCCGCGTTGGAATCCGTCTCAGCTCAGTTGCCGCGCCGGCGATGGATGTGGTTCTTTCCACGAGTGATATGGCTGACTGAATGTTGGAATACAGTCAGCCATATCACGACAGAATAAAGCCGAGGCCACGTGTTGGCGACGTCAGGCAGAGAAAGGGAGAGCGTAAAGCGCGATGCAAACTAACCCGTTTTTGTGCGCGTGAAAGTCGTGCTCTTCCCCGAAATGGCGTATTTCGTGACGTCGCGCTGATTCCTTGCGCCTTCCGGGCAAGCATAAGAAAGTTGGAGGATTTCAACTTTTTCTCATAAGAAAGTTGGAGGATTTCAACTTTTTCTGAACGTGCTCGAAAACGCGCTGTGACGTATAGTAGGGCGCTCCTCTCTCTGGGTGGAGGGCACTAGTTCCGCTCCGCGTTTCTTCGCCGTCTGGCGCAGTTGCTCTCCGCTCGCCGGAAGGCGCACCTCCGAACCAACGCGCATGGTTGTGACTCAGAAAGCGCACCGGAAACTGCAAAAAACGTCACGAAATACGCAATTTCCGGGAAGTGCACGACCTACGCGCGCACAAAAACGTGTTGGTTTGGATCGCGCTTAAGCGTTGTTTGGCTGCTGCCGCACAGGCAAGGCGACGGAAGCGTGCAGCGGAAAGCCAAGAGGAAAGGCATTGGGCGCGTCAAGTCCGCACTCCTTTACTCCTACTCCGACGCTCCGAGTTTCATACTCCGAGCGCAGCAACTGAACGACGCATTGCGTACAGGAGCGCGACACACCGAGGCTGCCTTCCCAAATCTACTCGCATGAATCCGAGTGACCCTGGCGGATTATGTCACGTGACAACAAAAATAGAGGAACGCTGAACGCGGGTAGGTTTTCAAAAGTTAAGGTACAGAAACTTTACCGTAGGGTGGGATCGGGTGAATTTTGGAACACAGCCCGAAACTATCGATGAGCCCCACGAGCTCCTCTCGACCGCACGGTTATGACGAACCCGGCTTCTCCTGGATACGGGTGGCAAAGCCCAAATTATTTCAAATATAAATTAATTACGTGTGGGGCGGCAGTCTGAAGCCAAAGCGACGGCGTCGTTATGAAGTTTCTACGAACGTTTTAATATTCAAAAAGGTTCGAAGACTCGCTTCGTGTACATATATGAAAAGTTACCTTGACCGATCTATTTATTGACCAGGCATACTGTTCTGATTTAAATTAACGACAACATAATTGAACCCGCTCGTCGACGCAGGAAACCCTCCAATTTGTCAGAGATTCCGTCTCGCAGCTCGAGACGGAAGCTACACCGACACCGTCTCACCGTCGTTCGATAGCACGTCAATTCGTTTTTAGGCGGTATGCATGAACAAACCTTTTCCGCAACACTTAACTAATATATTTCGGCTTTCCAATCAAAGTATCTTGATTCGCTGGGCTGAGCAGGCAGCGTTCCGACTGTCATCTCATCTCAACTTTTCTGTTGCTCAGCTGTCGGCACGCTACCGTTCGATAGATGAATTCGTTTTTATGCGAGATGCATGACCTAACCCTTTTCGCAACGTTAACTAATGTTTCGGCTTTTCCATCTAAGTATCTTTATTCGCTGCGGCTGGGCTAAGCATTCCAAGCAGGGCAGCGGTCTGTCTTTTCATCGCAACTTTTTGTGTCGCCGAGCTATCGGCACGCTCGTTCGATAGATCAGTTCGTTTTCAGGCAAGACGCACGAACAAACCTTTTCCTCGACGCTCACTAATGTTTCGGCTTTCAAATCGAAGTATTTTCATCCGCTGGGCTAAGCATTAGAAAAGGGGCAGAGCGGTCCGAATGTCTCTTCATCTCGATAACATTTTTTTTTTTTTTTTTGTCGCTGTGCTATCGGCACGCTACAGTTTGAAAGATGAGCTTCTTTTTCAGGCGAGATGCAGGCACAAATCTTTCTCGGAACGCTAATTGCTGTTTTGGCTTTCAAATCAAATAGTTTTTACCTGCTCGATTAATCACTAATGACCTGAAAAGGGGCACCGGTCCGGCTACGCCTTTCGTCTCGACGGTCTCGACAGCAGCGCAGTCATCTTGTTTGTTTACGTGACGTCACGGAGCGCGAAAAAGTCACTCGCGCTCCGAGAAATTGTCGGTGCACGAAGAGCGCGCTCGAGTGCCGTGCTCGAGTGTCAGTCTCCGGTGGCACTCCTGTCAATTTAGTGGAAGGAGCGCCAAACTCTCGCGCTCCGGAGCACGGACTTAACGCGCTCCGGAGCACGGACTTAACGCGCCCAGGAAGGCGGTGAGAAAAAACCAATGCTAACGCATTTCCATCAAATGAGCCCCATTGATCGGCGAACAGTTTTTTTTTCTCGTCAAACGCGCGGTGTCTCAGCGACAAAAATAATCCAACGTTTATTAAATTTCTTTTGTGTGTGTGTGTGTCTGTGTGTGTGTGTGTGTGTAAAAAAAGAGGGGGGGGGGGGGAAGTCCAGTGCCGGATATACTTTAGCATCCGATTCCATCCTATCTATACATACTCGCGCCCCCTCCAGCCTCTTTTTTCATTCTTTTACCCAACGGTTTTCGTTTACACCCGATTGATTTCATGCAATCGTGGCGGCTTGTAAGAAGATCGGCTCTATACCAGCGCCGCACCCCGGTCAATAGTGGATATAATGACGACAAGTCTCAAGAGATGCGGTTCTTTTATGGAGAGGATGTTATGTACCTTGTTACCCGATCCTTGGCCGAGACTGGAGGAGGTGTATACAAACCTACTCCAGTTCCCGGAAGTCAGACTTCCACTACAACGTTTTTTTTTTTTTTTTAATTTTTTTTAATGGGTGTTTTTTTCTTTCTGTTTTTTTTTTATATTAGCTTTCACGAAACGGAAGACGTCAAATAGTGGGGCCCACTGCTTTCACGGCTTTCAGACTCCTACGTACTTTAGCGGATCCTCGAGTTTTCCAATGCCCTGCGGCGATGTCTGAAGGCAATAGAAGGAAATAAAAGCCAAAACGCAATACTAAAAATTAAGAAAAAAAAAAGCATTTTATATATTACAGAAACTTTTGAAAAACCGGAGACGACGGTCTTAGAAGACGAAACACACAATGTCTCAAATGCAGCTACTTACCTTGATTGGCAAAATAGTATATATACCATACTAACCCGTGACCAGGAAACAAACGAAGAGAAAATGAAAAGAGAAAGAGAACAACATAAAGACGTCTCAAATTTCTTTGGGACTTCGAGAAGTTTTGTGTCTCTCAGTTTTTCTCTTCGTTTGTTCCCTTGTGTCGGGGTTCATATCGCTTACCAGATTGCCTTCACCATTCCCCTTATTTCAGTACGCAGATACCATCTCCCAGGCATGTCTCCCGGCAATTCGCTCACGTCCCCTTGACCTTCAGCTGGAGTACTATCGGGGAAAAATGAAATGCGAACAGAGGAGCGCGTGGCTGGCGGTACAGGCTGCGCCGCCTGGAAGTGAGCCTAGGGGCGAGGGTGCGTGGCCTACTCCGATCTGTAGTACGCCCTTCGCTCTGCACTCCCCGAGCTTCAGCAGTGCGCCTCTTAGTGCGCTGAAAGCTATCACGGCTATCTTTGCTGGCTCAGCGTGTGCGGTGTGAAGAACCTTGCCGCACGCGCCGAGCAGCCAAAGATAGCGGTGTCAGCTTTCAGCGCACTGAGAGGCGCACTGCCGAAGTTTGGGAAGCGCAGAGCGAGGGGCTTGAATTCATCTGAGTAGGCCACGCACCCTCGCCCCTAGACTCACTTCCAGACGGCGCAGCCCGCACCGCCAGCCACGCGCTCCTCTGTTCGCATTTCATTTTTCCCCGATAGTACATCTAGACTTGACCTGAGTTCAAACCAACGACATGAACTCGTACAAAGCATTGCGAGCCTATCCTCCCCGTCACGGATTCGCCCAAGGAGTGACCGTCGCACATGCGTACGAAGGCGGAAGCCCGATAACGCGACATGAACATCAAAACAACGTGCTTTAAAATAAGTAAATAATAACAATAATAAACGGACGTTTTTTTTTCAATAGTAGTTTTTATTTTGTAACTAACCATTTTTCTGCTTTTAATTCAACGAAAAGATGCCAATATATTTATCCGTATTTATTTTTTACATATATTTCTCTCCCAGTGTTATCAACACGGACGTGAAACACTAACTTTCCGATGCAAAACTACCATCACAAATATACCCGAAGCTTTACTTACTTCTCGCCTCGAACATACACCTGCTGAAGAAACCTAATCAAGTTTGCATCTATCTTCAGCTGACCCCAGCGTTTTCCCTGGCTCACATTATCGTACGCTCCCTAGATGTCCAAATAAGCTACATGGTCATTGCTACATACGTTGGGACAGTGAAGAGTGTTGCCTGCATTCCGGAATGACATATCTCGAGCCACGATCGCGAGCAGTTCCGCCGTGCTCGCTGAGCAGGCGAACCGGGGGATCCTCGCTGGAACGCTTCCGGTTTTGGCCGCGGGAGGGCGGGCAACGTGCTGGAAACGCGAATAGATAAGGTGAACGAAGAGAGCCCCAAACATACACGTACACCCGATAAGAAGAATCGATAGACGGAACACCGAAACGTTTTCCGGTGTCACTTTCCGCGAGAGAAAGTAGCGTGCTATTAGTGCTAATTGGCGACGGCGTTTATTATATATTTTTATTTCTTATTGTTGCTTGCTTTGTGGCGTTGTAATATACCTAGGCACGAAATCAAATCTTTGTTGTCTATGTCTAAAGCAAACGCGAAACGTTTTTTTTTTTTTTTTTGCGATATTGGCGAGGTTAGTACAAGAATACCACCTGAGAGACAAGGCCTGTTCATGGCGTAGTCGTAAGTGGACCACCGACTTCTTCATACCGAAGTTAACTGACTCCTTTAATGGCAAAGATAGAACTTGACTTTAGTACGGAACCTCGATGGCAGTTTCCTATTGAAGCATCGAAAAGCAACACAGCGAAGAGTTGTCACAAAGTAAAGCGTTAACCATACAGTCTGTGTCAAATAGCCCGCCAGATACTCAACCTTTCTTCACATTGATATAGACTAGGAACCGAGGCGTTCGGTAATCTGCATATATAAATATTTTTTTTTTATACGATAGAAAATGTCAAAACAGAAATTCACGAACTCTTTGGTAAGGGCACTCAGTATATGGTGCCGCCTGATATAATCCACGTGCTTTTTTCTTCAGGTCCCTTATATCGGAGATGTACAATTTTGCCTTCTAAGGAGCATCTTCTTTTCGATAGTCATTTTCTGCTAGAAGATAGAAGATTTACTAAACTAGATGGTTAAAACGAGTAACGGGCGAGGATTTGCGTACAGCTAGCTGTCTTGAGACTTTCACGATTGTGTAATTTATGCCTTACTTAATCTAGTTTGGAGGACAGTACGTCATAGCGTCAAAGTGATTGTCAAGTAAAATCCGGAAGTAACTAAGGTTTTTCGCGGGTCGCGTAGAGTGAGCCTCAATAGTTGCTAGTGATTTTTGTAAAAAAAAGATGTAGCTCCATTATTTGTGAAATGCTTATGAATGTCATTTCAAAACTTTAAGCCAAATGTTTCAAGTTACAATGACAATGTTTTGCGTGATGACATCACATCACACACGGGTTCCTAAAGGCCGCAGGCGCTGGCATCGGACCTTCGATATGTATCGCATTTTTTTGTTAAGCTGTGTGTAGAAAAAGCTTAAAAGAGGGCCCGCCCACTCGTACTTGAAGTCGCTGCGGTCGGGGAGCAGGCGAAGCACTATTTTCTCGACAGCGGAGGGACTTGGAACGGGCAGATTACACCTGTCGGCGGAGCACTCCCGCATTCTCAGCCCGTCACTGACTACACAGAAACCGACGGTGCCAACTAATGTTATATTCGGCTGGCTGGACACTTTCGAGCGCTCCAGTCATCCGAGTCGGAGCTACCAGATCCCGGAGCGCCTCCGCATCGAAGCGAGAGAATCGGCGCGCCCAGCCGAACGCTCCTCAACTCTTCAGAGCGGCAAGCCGAGCGGATAGAGGGTGGCCTGCGCCCTAAGAGGATGGCGCGAGCCGCCCTCTAGCGGAACTTTGCTTCTCGGATTCAAAGGGTTAAGCAGTATTCAGTCATCCATCCATCCGTAAATCCTTGAAAAATGGCAACCGTCAATGCGGACGCTGATAAGTTCATCGCAAGCCAGCCGTGCCAAGCGGAAGTTCCTGCGAAACTATCAAAAAAGACAACATTACAGCTTGAAAACTCTCGTATACTTTTGTTCTTACCGCTTTGTCCGAGTAGGTTCGCACTATAGAAACATGGGCCTTGACCTTGGGCACCGTACAAGGTGCGTCAAACAACTCGGCAAACTTGGCTTCGTAAACACAGCCCTCGTCGTCGTCGTCGTCCGAGCTGCTGGTGTTGTCAATGTCTGCTAGCTTCGCCAGCTGCAATGACGGTGCCACCACTAACAATAAACGTCTTCTTTTCAACGACATTTCACCTCAATTCGGGGAGCACAACTCAACAATGACGGCGTCGAGACTGACGGCTGTTTTTCGCAGCCCTCTTTCTGCGGACTAGCTGCGTTCTCGCCGTCCGCTCCCAACACAGAAGCAAAATGGCGGAATGGCTGGGGTCACGTGACCGGTCGGCAGCCAGGTCTCTCGCGCGCTCCCACTTCCAAGTCAGAGCGCCTCAAATCAATCCGATTCGGAGGACGGCGAGAGTCGGAGCTTCGAGAGCGCTCCGAAAGAACCCGCCGAATATACTTGGAGCGCCTGGCATCGACCAGCCGAATGCACACCGGCTTTTCAGAGCGGTACAAGAGACTGAAAAGCGGCCAGCCGAATATACCATAAGCAAAACCGAAAACGGAACGTCATGGCTATCCTGGAGTTTCGCGAAGCAAGAAAAAGTGAAGTGGCGTGCACGGCGGAGGGAAAGATGTCATTACTTCGATTATTCAGTGTGCGTCGGACGGAGCAGTGTTCCCGTGAGAGTGAGAAAAGCGAAAAGAGAGAGGAAGCCAATGAAAAGCAGATGTAAAAGAAACGAGGGAGTTTCAGCGAAAAAGGGAAAGAGGGCACTGAAGCGTAATGGGAGACCGTCGACTCCGGTGTCCTCAAGCTGCCGAGGCTCATGAGAAGGCGGTGCATTGATTAGCAGCAAATAATTAAAGGGGTCATGAAACGCTTTTCCAACTTTTTCCTGTTTAGCTTTCCTCCTCAACTCATAAATCGCGCATTCCACCAAACAGTTCAAGAAGACGAAAAGAGGGGAGACCCCTCTTGGCTCCGAATCTGGTTTGTGTAACCGGACACAGCCATTTTCTCCCTAGAAGGTTAGCCCGTCGCTCAAAATTCAGACAAAAGTTGCTTTCCCCACCCCGTTCACCCCGAAGCTGACAGTACTGTGGAAGCTACGTGCTCGTTGGGCCAGCCAGACTTGCCACGTGATCACACTCTTTCGCGCATACTCATGCGTAGAGAATGAGGTCAGGTGATGAAAGGGAGGCGGCTGATTGGTCCGGCAAGCGCGTAGCTTCCACCGCAATATCAGCTTGGGGTTGAAGGGAATAAGTGTGGTCCGGTTTCGTGTGACGTGCGTTTGGACCCGATGAAGCGCTTTTGGGACCGCGGGTGTATCACAGTGAAAAGGCAGAGAGCTTACGAAGGGAAGGAGGTACGAAATAGTCCGCTGTGTTTTTAATTTTCGCACTGAACGTCAGGCTTTTGACTTTCTACCTTGTTTCTTTTGGCCCACTGAATGATGTGCTATCAGTAATATCCCAATATAAAATGATTTATCCCAACCCGAAATTCGTTTCATTGGCCCTTTAAAGAAATCTAAAAAAATCATTTTCTCTCGGTTGTCAATCGTAATAATGCAATATCATAAATTATTAGCAATACCCCTAGAGGCATGAAAAGTAGTACGGCTTCTAATGTTTTCATAGAAAAGAGTACGTGGGCTTGAGACGATTCGACTGATCCCCGCTTGGCTTGAAGGCCGGGAATGATGTACTAGTGCGCCCTAAAAATTCTGAAGCGTCTATTTTTCCACAAAGCACTTTGGACAGCTAGAGCTAATCGCTGCATTCTACGGAGAAACCTCGGCAAATACCGAGACTGAAAATGTGTTTACGCACATTGGGGCCTAAAAAAAAACATGTTTTGCGCATTGTTTATACGCTTCACGAAGTAGTTTTTACAAAACTTGCTTGTCGGTGAAAGACGCCACGCTTTTTGGCGTTCATAACGTGTACATCGTGATAAGATAACATATATCTCCTTTAAAATGCACCTATATATCTTAATAGAGCCTATTCAAAAGTACGCGCCAAGGCCTGTCCGCCATTTTGAGCATGTATTGGACAGGAGGCGGGCGTCATCGCTCGGCGAGAACTCGGACAATGTTCCATTGGACGGACTGGAGAGTGCGTCAATGAATGGACGAGGGAATATGCAGCTTCAGTGATGGCCATCACAGCAGCAGGGCACCTATATACCCGCCTATTGTCCTGTGCGTGTCAGTGTGCGCCAGAGTTTTCTAGCCTAAACATCCTGGCAAGAAACCGCTAGAAAAATCCTGGAGGCCCTTGCTAATGAGGCGACGGTGGACAACTGTGTGAGTGCGCCTTCCATACCACAAGGAAGTTGTCTATCTTAAAGGGGCAGCACCCTCAAGTAAATTAATTGTAATATAAATGAAAAAAAAAATCGGGTTATACATAAGCACTTCTTATGTGCTGTGAATGCGAAAGTATACAAGCCGCTCGTCCGCTTCCTTTGTCGTCTACTGCGTATTTTGCGTCGCCGGTCAGCGCGCGTGCTCCTTTGGGCACGCTCACCTCGGACGCTCCGTGTTAAGAGGATATCGCACCTCCCGAGCCCTATGCAATTTCAATGGCAACTTTTTAGTGTTTTTTCTCAAGAACCACTGCACGGATTGACTTGGGATTGGTTTTATTAGAAAGATAATAAAAAACTGAGTAATATTGTGGCGCTACATTTTTCGATATTTAAGCTTAAAATGTTCTACAGGAACTTAAAGGGACCATGAAATGATTTTAAAATCGAGTTTCATCCACCGCACGTCGTAAAAGCTGTGAAAAGAAACACAAAAACACAAAAATAGGGAGCCCAAAAAAATTATTTGCTATAGAACTTTTAAAAGAAAACTGGACTCTTTTGCGCCTTCCTTCCTTCGCCTGTTCACTACGATGCATACGCAGAATCGGTGCACGTCAGCCGAATCCACATCGCCTATTGGGTAAGAGCCTACCTCACCAGCACCGCGATCGTAAACAATAAATAGCCGGCGAATGTTTCCTAAAAGTTTTGTTAAATAATATTCAGATCCACATTTTGTAGCATAATTAGAGATGTGTGGCGAAAATTGCCAAATTTGATAATGCTGAGAGCCAAGCGCCATCTATCGTGTGGTAAACGAAGCAACTACTGCGCGTGCGCAGTAGGGCAGGGCCGCCAGTTACTTGGGTGACGGCGACCGACG